GGGTCTCACTTACGCGAAAGTCGGCGCTTGAATACTCGCGCTACCGCGCGCTTGTTTGCGCGTATGGGTTGCCGTGCCGCCAGGCACTCGGCGTTATACGCCGTTATGCCTGTGTGGCGTATGGCAGAACGCCACAAAAGTATGTGATTAGGTAAAAGTGTGACGACACCTCGCGTCATCACTGTAGATAGTTCTGTACATAGTATTATTAAATTGTTATTATTCATTCATGGTTTAGTCATTTATTCATACTGTTTACTTTGTTCCTGAATTTCTAAAATAAAGACTTTAACTGTAACAGTTTCCCGCGAGTATATTCTTTACTCGACGCCTCTGGCACACACCTGCGATTCCGCCTATGGGCTTCCCCACCTAGTCTCACTCCCTCCTCGACGCACGCAAGCGTGGGGGGCCCTCGAGCCGTATAAAAATCGGCTCGCCCAACAAACCGACACCTATTCCTCTCCAGTTTCCGACCTGATCAGAACCTCTGGGAATAACCGAGGCATCTCGAATCCTGACCGTTCTCGCCGACAGAGACGGGTGTGACCTCTCCGCCGCCTGGGTTTGCCCGACATTCGGCTTCCTGACCGTCCCCGCCGACGGAGACGGGTGTGACCTCTCCGCCGTCTGAGTTTGCCCGGCATTCGGCTTCCTGACCGTTCCCGCCGACGGAGACGGGTGTGACTTCTCCGCCGCCTGGGTTTGCCCGGCATTCGGCCTCTGCGCACTGCCGTAAGGTGAACTCCGCAATCGCGACGCGCTCGTCGATCGAAAACCGCGACCGACCGCCTAGATTAAGCGTAGCGTAATCTTCCGTAGGCTAAGTTAGAAAGATAAGTACCTGCGCACTGTCATAGGCTAAGCTCGCGTAAAATAAGTTAGTTGTACTCTCTCGTAGAATAAGCTGTTTATAATCTTTCATAGGCTAAGTTGTTGCGCTCTCGTATAGGATAAGACGATTTACAAATAAAAGCTTGTTTAAACTAAAAGAGGACTCGTAAGTTTGACTCCCCTACCTACTCCCGAATCTTGGAACCGGCGAGCCAATCCGTGGCGATCGGGATAGGCCGTACCGTTACATGGCGCCCGAACAGGGACCGTTTAAGGAGAGTCCAGCTAGCGAAAAGCCTCATGACTGCGTGGATTAATAACCTTTCCAAAGAACAGCTTGTAGAATATCTCCATCGGTACGAAGTGGATACCACGGGCCAGGTGGACCTGCTGAGACGCCGATTGCGCCTGTACTTCGCTGCCCACCCGTCCGACAACCCGAGGAACAACAACAGTGACGTACCAGGAGAAACCGCGTCCATGCTCACCTTGAGTCCAACGGAACGCATCGAGATCATCAACCAGATCCGGAAATGGGGCCACCGCTTCGAAGGGGTGGATCCACTCTCCATCCACATTCCTAGAGAAAGTTGAAGAGTTACGAATCAGTTATGGCCTCGAAGAAGACCACTTACTCTTGGGTCTACCGGAATTACTAAAAGGGGATGCCCTCTTGTGGTATCGAAACCACCACGATACCTGGGGAACTTGGGCCAGTTTCTGCGAACATTTTCGCAATTACTACCTGCCGCCGGGATACCTGAGGCGACTAAAGCGAGAAATTAGCGGACGCTCCTAAAAATCGGGGGAGTCGTTTCGCGAATACTCCAATGCGCTTCTCACCATGATGCGCCGAGCTGGGGGATACTCCGAACGAGAACAGCTGGAGTAAATCTACGAAAATATGGATCCCGAGCTCTATGTTCCGCTCACCGATCAGCTCATCATGAGCGAACTCCTGACCCGGATATCTAAGATTGAGGAAATCAACCACCGTCGACAGGATCGAACTCCAGCGGCCGCCAAACCATCAGTCGCCGCCGTTACCTACAACTGGGAGGAATGCTGCTGGAGATGTAAGCAGCGAGGCCATACTCGGATGGATTGTAAGCGACCACCAAGAAAATTCTGCTCGCGATGCGGCAAAGATGGTGTCCTGACTCGCGACTGCCACCCGCCGACGGGAAACGCCCAACGGGCCAGGGACGTAGCGGCCGTCTCCCAGCCCAGCCTCGAATAGAATACCGTCCGCACCCGCACCTCCAAGTACACATCCGGCGACAACCATTCGCGGCCCTCATAGACCCCGGATCTGAGGTCTCGTGCATACAGGAAGAGACTGCACGATTATTCCCCGGAATACCACGACTAGCTCAGAACCGAGGAGACTACGTCCTCCTAGCCGATAGCACGCGGGTAGGGGTCACTGGGGTATTGCGCCTGCCTCTCCGATGGCATGGGAGAACCTATTGGTACGATTTCTGCATACTCCCTGGTCTAGCTAGCGCTGTGCTAATTGGTACCGACTTGTGGGCCTTGTGAAGATGGGATTCACTTTGCCGCCACCTCCGTTGAACCAGACCGGGGCGGTTTCCCGAACCAACGATCACCGTCGGCCCCATCAACGAAGCAAATGAAGAAGCACAACTCCGGGACTTTTTAGCAGCTGAGTTACCGCTATTTGAAATGGTCACGGGACGAACCGACCGAGCCGAACATCGCATCTGGCTAAAACCTGGACCGCCCATCAAACAGCGATACCGGTCATGCAAGCCGTCATCAATGAGAAAGTCGACCGAATGCTCGCCGAAGGCGTCATCGAACCCTCGAACAGTGCTTGGAGCTCACCGGTAGTTATAGTTCGAAAGAAAGATGGGCAGTATAGATTCTGCATCGATTTCCACAGGTTGAATGCGGTATCAGATAAGGACGCCTATCCCTTGCCGCACATCACGGCCACGCTAGACAAATTGCGAGGGGCGAAATACCTGACAACGTTAGATTTAAAGTGTGGTTACTGGCAGATACCACTGGCCCAAGAGAGTCGACCCGCAACTGCCTTTACCGTACCAGGAAAGGGTTTGTACCAATTCACGGTCATGCCTTTCGGGTTGCACTCGGCCCCGGTGACCTTCCAGCGGTTGCTAGACACAGTGATCGGCCCCGACCTCAAACCTAACGTCCTCGTATACTTGGACGATATAATAATCGCCAGCAAGACGTTCAGCGAACACCTGCAACACTTAAGAGAGGTTTTCCGGCGACTACGCGAGGCAAGGCTACGCTTAAACCCGGATAAGTGCCACTTCTGCCGTCCGAGCCTCCGTTATCTAGGACATGTAATTGACCGACAAGGGATACACACGGACCCAGACAAAGTCAGCGCCATCACCAATTGGCCAGCTCCCACCACCGTGCGCAAGGTCCGACAATTCTTAGGAATGGCCTCGTGGTACCGAAGGTTCATCCCGAATTTTTTGACATTAGCGGCGCCGCTTACAGCGCTGACCAGAAAACGAGTTGGCTGGACATGGGGGACCTCCGAAGACGTAGCCTTTTAACAACTGAAAAAAGCATTGACCTCCACACCGGTTCTGGCCTGTCCGGACTTCCAGAAACCGTTCCTGCTACAAACCGATGCCAGTTCACATGGGCTAGGAGCCGTGCTAACGCAGCACCAAGCGGAGGGAGAGCGAGTAATCGCATACGCCAGCCGAACGTTCAACGGTGCCGAGCGGAACTACAGCGCGACCGAGTTGGAATATCTCGCCGTGATATGGGGAATCCGGCGAATGCGAGACTACTTAGAGGGGTACCGATTCACCGTCGTACGGACCACCAGTCTCTCAAGTGGTTGCAACATCTGGAGAACCCGTCCGGACGCCTGGGGCGCTGGCTCTTCGAACTGCAACAGTTCGACTTCACCATACATTATAGGAGAGGAGGACAAAATCAAGTAGCCGATGCCCTCTCCCGGGAGCCGCAGCTCTACGCAATGCAACACCGGATAGCGTGCCCATGGTACCAACGCCTCCTCAGAGAGGTAAAGAGCCGACCAGACGAGTACCCTGATTACGAGATACGTGACGGCCAACTATTTCGACATGTGCTGCACGACCTGGACTTTAGCGAGGTACCCTCCGAACAATGGAAACAGTGCGTCCCTCGGGAACAGCGGCTCGACATCCTACGCCGGCTACACGACGACTTAACCGCAAGACATCTAGGAGTGGCTAAGACCATCGCCCGACTCGCCCGGTTGTACTACTGGTCGGGAATGTTCCGGGAGACAGCCTGGTACGTTCGGAGCTATCCGAACTGCCTAGCCCACAAGGTACCACAGCAACGACCAGCAGGAAACCTACACGCTACCCCAGTGACCGCCCCGTGGCAGCAAGTCTCAGTGGATCTAGTCGGTCCTCTGCCACGCTCGGTCCGAGGACATGTCTGGCTCCTGACCGCCCAGGACCGGTTTAGCAAATGGATCGAAATGGTTCCCCTGCGACGCGCCACCGCCACGGCACTAGCAAAAGAAGTAACTCGCCGCGTCATCTACCGGCATGGATGCCCGAATCAACTGATCTCGGACAACGGGACCCAGTTCATCTCTCGCTAGTTCCGCACCTTGCTGGCATCATTTGGGATCCAGCACCGCACGTCGCCCGTCTACGCGCCGCATTGCAACCCGGTGGAAAGGGCGAATCGAACCATTAAGACCATGATCAGTCAATACGTGGGCGACCGGCACCGGGATTGGGACGAACGCATTGACGCTTTACAGTTCGCGGTGAACACCGGCACGAGGCAACCGGATACTCCTCGGCGTTTCTGCTCCACGGCCGCGAACTGGCACCTCCACATCCTACCGAGCGGCTACCAACGCAAGACCCGACTTCCTCGGAGTCGCATCGACAACGCCTGGAAGAGGCCTACGAGGTCGCCAGGATTCACCTGGCCCGAGCCTTCCAAAAACAGGAGCGCCACTATGACCTGAGACGACGCGACTGGCGCCCCCAGGTGGGCGACAAAGTTTGGAAGCGAGAACGACCCCTGTCAAGCCGCGACGACGCGTTTAATGTCAAACTTGCCCCTCGATTTTCGGGGCCCATGGAAGTACGCCGGATAATATCCCCCGTCATCGTAGATCTACGCAACGAACACGGGAAATGGCATCGGCATGTCCACGTACAGGACCTGAAACCACAACCGAACATACCGGAAAACCCTCGGGTGGACGAGGATGCCGCATAATCCGGCAGAAAGTTACCGATCACGCCAAAGTACCGCCACCTCTGAGCATTCGGACGGACTCCGTTACGAGGGGTCTTCCCTTAGAACCACGGGCCACCTACTGCCCGACCTGCGACCGCCGGGCCACCTACTGCCCGACCTGCGACCGCCGGGCCACCTACTGCCCGACCTGCGGACCGACCGCATGCCGGCCGCGCCACCTAGCTACTGCCCGGCCTATGAACGCCGGATCGCATACTGCCCGGCCTACGACCGCCGGCCCAGCGACTGCCCCACCTGCGACCGGACTCCGCTACTTCCCTTGGAACCACGGGACACCCCAAGCCACCGGAAATTCCGCGAACAAATCTCCTCCACAAACAGTACGGCGGATATATAAGGCCGTGCAATCCCGTACATATTTTTACTAATAATTATTTTATATATTATTCATTTCTTCGCCCCTCCCCTAATGATATGCCTGATTAAAAGGATTATTTTGATAGAATAAATCATACATTTTTAATTAATTTAATGTTTTCATTATATTTTTCATTTAGCCTACTAAACTTCTGCAATAATTTAAAAAATTATAAATAAGTAAGCTAATTTTAAGCTCTTAGGTTCATACCCTAAAAATAGATCATAATTTAAAACCATCTCTTATTTATCAATCTATTCCTACTCACTCTACATATATTCATTCATACGTAAATTATATATATATATATATATATATATATATATTATTATTATTATTATTATAATAATAAAATTTCAAATTAAATTAAATTTATTATAAACTATCACTCATCCTTAATTCAAAATTTTTCATTTATTTCCTATATACTTAATAGATTTAATCTATTTCTTTAAAATTCAAAAATTTATATGCTTAACAGTCGCTATGGACCGACACGAGATGGACGAACTCTTCGGGGAGATAAGTACAAGCTCAGAGTCCGAAGCGAGCGGGCCTACTTTCGCACCGACCACGACGCCGCCGACGCCTGCTCCTGCCGAGTCGCCTCCAGCAACCCCGAGCCCGGGACTATCCCGACGACCGCCGGGCAGGAACATCAGTCCAGCGCTCCGACCAGTCGAACCGTCGGAAGGCGACCATCCTGATAACGCCGCCGGAGATTAAGCCGCGCCGCCGCGGAAGAGTCGCCGCCCTGGCCAACCCCCGATCTGCCGCCAGCCGCCCATCAGCCGCCAGGACCAGCAAGGCCTCGATGTCCCGGCCACCGACCACCGGATCGCATACCTCCGCCGGAGCCCCTGCTGCCCGGCCGGACCGCATATCGCCCGGCCTACAATCTCCGGACAGCGTACTACCCAAACTGTGACGGCTGGGCCGGCTACTACCCGGCCGACGAATACCGGGCCGCCTACTACCCAGCCCACGACCGCCGAGCCGTGTACTACCCGGCCGGCGACCATCAAACCGTGTACTGCCCGGCCCGCGACCGTCGGACCGCCTACCGCCCGGCCTGCAAACATCGGACCGCCTACTGCCCGGTCTACGACCGTCGGACCGCCTACCGCCCGGCCTGCGAACATCGGACCACCTGCCACCCGGCCTGCGACCGCCGGGCCGCATACCGCCCGGCCTACGACCGCCGAACCACCCACGGCCGCCGGACCATCTGCCACCCGACCGGCAACCGCCTGACCACCGACCGCTAGGCCACCCATCGCCGAGTCCATCCCGGTACGCCTGGACGACGGCACCATCGTCGAGGTCCCCGCCGGATCGGTCATCGTCGGGCGGAGGTATAAGGTCCGCACCGTGTCAGGCCGATGGGTAATCCGGTTTCACCCCGAGCAGTTCGGCGCCTCGACGGACCCCCCCTAAGCGCGGGGTGGTGTGACGACGCCTCGCGTCATCACTGTAGATAGTTCTGTACACAGTATTATTAAATTGTTATTATTCATTCATGGTTTAGTCATTTATTCACTGTTTGCATTATATACTGTTTACTTTATTCCTGAATTTCTAAAATAAAGACTTTAACTGTAACAGTTTCCCGCGAGTATATTCCTTACTCGACGCCTCTGGCACACACCTGCGATTCCGCCTATGGGCTTCCCCACCTAGTCTCACTCCCTCCTCGACGCACGCGAGCGTGGGGGGGGCCCTCGAACCGTATAAAAGCCGGCTCGCGCAACAGACCAACACCTATTCCTCTCCAGTTTCCAACCTGATCAGAACCTCTGGGAATAACCGCGGCATCTCGAATCCTGACCGTTCTCGCCGACGGAGACGGGTGTGACCTCTCCGCTGCCTGGGTTTGCCCGACATTAGGCTTCCTGACCGTCCCCGCCGACGGAGACGGGTGTGACCTCTTCGCCGCCTGGGTTTGCCCGGCATTCGGCTTCCTGACCGTGCACGCCGACGGAGACGGGTTTGACCTCTCCGCCGCCTGGGTTTGCCCGGCACTCGGCTTCCTGACCGTGCACGCCGACGGAGACGGGTTTGACCTCTTCGCAGCCTGAGTTTGCCCGGCACTCGGCCTCCGCGCACCGCCGTACGGTGATCTCCGCAATCGCGACGCGCTCGTCGATCGAAAACCGCGACCGACCGCCTAGATTAAGCGTAGCGTAATCTTCCGTAGGCTAAGTTAGAAAGATAAGTACCTGCGCACTGTCATAGGCTAAGCTCGCGTAAAATAAGTTAGTTGTACTCTCTCGTAGGATAAGCTGTATATAATCTTTCATAGGCTAAGTTGTTGCGCTCTCATATAGGATAAGACGATTTACAAATAAAAGCTTGTTTAAACTAAAAGAGGACTCGTAAGTTTGACTCTCCTACCTATTCCCGAATCTTGGAACCGGCGAGCCAGTCCGTGCCGATCGGGATAGGCCGTACCGTTACAAAAGAAAGAAAATGAAAGAAAGTAACAACGAACGAAATTTAATACGAATTATTCGGTACCGCTAAGAGAAGACGCAAGAGAGAAGAAAAAAAGGGAAGGAAAAAAAATTAATATACAGTACGGAGAAAAAGAAAAAAAAGAATAAGAAATCAAAATAGAACTCTCTCGTGATTATTACTCGCTAACAAAAGGAAAGGTTGTATCGTTTCATACGTAATATTATTTTGCCCCCTAAGATTATAAGCTAAGTGCCACTAGCGGTATAAATGCCTATCAAAACAAACAAAGAAAGAGAAAAAAAATTCACCACACAAAGACCGTTGATATAACGGAAATCCACGGGAAGTAAATAAATTTAAATTATCGGTAACAATCGGAACGGTAATCGAACGGTAGGCGACCTTCTTGCAAAAACAGTAAAAAGAAATGAAAATAAATATTATATGATCGCAAGTTTACCAAATCTAACGAGAATTTTCGGTATCCCATCCGATATAACGGAAAGGAAGAAAAAAAAAGAAAAACTCGGACGGGACAATCCGGCAGCGTCAACACGATATACGGTAACTTTAATATACAAGGCACACAAATTTCAAGGTCGTTGTCAAGTTCTTAAATTATCCTTAAATTATTGTACAGCTATATAGAAGGTAATATTACGGAAGTACACACTACGACAATAATTAAACGATACACAATATTTTAATTTACCCTCAGCAATACGGTACTGTCGATACAGGACACCATAAAAAAAATCACTAAGAAAAATTATTTAACAGCACAAACACATTAACGAAGACACAACATGAAATGTCGATCACTAGAAAGAAAAAAAAGATTTTCTCTCTCTCTCTCTCTCTCTCTCTCAAGACTTTCCGGTATTATATTCGGTACTTCTACACGGCGTCGGGCTCCACGTTGGGTGCCAAAATCTTTGCGACGCCTTTGTCCGCCTCGGGAACGCCGATCCGAAGGAGGCGGTGTGCAAATTTCTCTTTTTGGCCAATAGAAAAGAAACAGCTGATTTGCATGAAAAGAAACGGTATCTGAAAATACGGTATCTGAAAGTATCTCGCAGCTCTCCGAGAAGGAGAGCGGTATTGGGCGACAGGCGCGGTCTCCCGCGCCACGATATCGGTACGGAAACGAAAGGGGTTTCGCTAACCCAGAGCTCAGTATGGCAGAGGGGTAGAATTCTTTGTAGATCAGAGGGAAAACGCTAAATAACTCCCGACAGAGAGAAATGATCGACATTCACCTCGGTTTACTTAAAATATAGTAGCAGTAGTAGTAGTAGTCATTTATTGCATATTCCCTTAGGATTTACCAGGCGCTTTTTTCAGGGAGCGTTTCCGAACCCTTTACAACACTTCCAGAAATAATAAAAATTCCCGACCTAGCCATTTTGCGATCTTTACAATCTTTTCCCTCCCATCGGACCCAAACCTGCTCCTCCCTCTATCCCTCCCCCTTTCCCCCTTCCTCCATCTCCCTCTTCTGCTTTCTGCTTCTCTTTCCTGCTGCCTCCCGTCCTTCCTCCTCCTTTTCCTTCCTTCTCTCTGCTTCCTTTCCTTGTCCTCGTCCTTCTCCTTCTTCCTTCCTGTCTATTCCTGTCCTCCTGTCCGTCTCCTCTGTTCCCTCTTCCTTCCTTCTCCCCTGTCCGCTGTGAAATTAATGCGAGAATATATTTAGCCAACCTTCTTCTCTCTCTCTCTCTCCCTTAGCCCCTTCTAATCCTTTCTATATTCTCTTTCCCTCCCTTTCCCGCTCTATCTCCCTCCTCTTCTCCCTTTTTCCTCCTCCTCCTTTCCTCCCCTTTCTTTTCCTCTCTCTCAGCTTTCATCTCTCCCTGCCTACCATAGTTCCCCCTTCCCTTCCTCAGCTTTACCCCTTAATCCTCACTCTCTTCTTCCGAACCTCCCGTCCTATCTGTTCATCTATCCTTCTCTATATCCCAACGCCATGCCTTCCCATTCACCCACACTTTCCTATTCGTTACCATCACTGCGTTTCCTTTTGCCCTCTCTTCTCTTGCCCTTTCTACTAACCTCCATCTTATTTTCCTCTCCTCCATTGCTAGATCCTCATCCATCCCCGTCCCCCAGTTCCTACTAATCTCCCCTCCTCTCTCTAATAGCTCCTCTCTATTCTTCGACTTTTCCATCCTTACTATCAACACTATTCCTGCTGTTCCCTTCCTTTCTACCACTTCACTAATTTTCTCTTCCCTCCCTAGTTCCTCCTCCATTATTCCCTCCATTACCCTTCTCCTCTCTTCTGCATTACCCCCCTCTTCAATCTAAATTCTTCCTTCTCTCCCTCCTCCTCCTCCTCTCCTCTTCTTTTTTCTTTTTTTTTCTCTCTGCCTCTGTTATTTCTCTGCTCCTCCTCCTTCTGTCTCTCTTCTCCTCAAAACTCTTCCACGCCTCTTCCCCACTCACTCCTCTGTCTTCTCCTCCCACCTCTTCTCTCTTCTTCTCTTCTTTCTTCTTTTCGTTTTCCATTCTCCTCCTTCTTCCTTCCTCTTCTTCCTCCTCCATCCTCCACTATTCTCTCTTTTTCCTCCTCCTCCGTGCTCTCTTCCTCACTCTTTTCCTCCATCCTCTCCTTCCGCTGCTCTTTTTTCCTCTTTCCTACTATCCTATTCCCTTTCGTCTGTCCTCTTCTTTCCCTCTCTTCTTCCTCCGATGTCTTCCTCTCCTCACCCTCTTCCTTCTCCCTCCTATCTGTCTCCTTCTTTCTTCTTCCGCTCGCTTTCACTCTCACTTCTGTACTACTCTCTCTCTCTCTCTCTCTCTCTCTTCCGTTTCCCCTCCTCCCTCTTTCCTCTTTTCCACTGCTCCTCTTCTCCCTGACGTTGCCTCCTCTTCTTTCTCTCCGGCTTCCTTCTCGCACCGCTCCTCCTTCCCTATCCTCCTTCCTTCCACTCTGTTCCTTCCTGCAGTCACGTCTTTCTCATCCTTCCTAGCCTCGTTCCAGTTACACTCCTTCTCCATCTCTTCTCTCCTCTCCAGACCACCCTCTCCATTACCCTTACTCCTCCACTACCTTCCTTAACTCTCTTACCTCCTTCACTATCCCTTCGTTTTCTCTTTCCGTATCCATTCTTCTTCTTCTCTCTTCCTTACTAACACTGCACGCACTTTTCGACTCCATCTTTAATCCGCTCATCGATCTCGTTTCGCTTTCTCTCCGTGCTCTCTCTCCTCACCACTCCTCTTTGCTGATACATCACTTTCACCCAAAACTTCAGCTCGCGAAATCACTT